TTATCTGTTTTAGAAGTTACTGAGCTCATTAGAACCAACGTTCAAAGCTCCATCTATCCAAACCTTAATTAAGTCAAGTCGTTACTAATTGAAAAAGGTATGAGATATTTACTCTATCATATGATAACTCATCTAATTCAACTTTATTGCTTACGAGTAAAACACTAACGTGAAAGAGAGGAAGCTAAATGGATTCCACTACTACTAATTGGACCTCTACTACAAAATCCACTTTTAACTTTACTTTGTAGTATTCTTATTCTAAAAGTTTGAAATCACTAGTCTTCTATCTCTCAAACTTCTTGTTTTGAAAGAAAAAGAAAAACTACGTTACCACAGTTGGAGCATGCACTTCATTGCAGCCCTCAACATTTGTTTTTCTTGTAATTTGGCCGTTGACGATGGAATGACAACTTCCGGTCTGCTTCGGTCCACGTTAGAGCTCGCAAGTCAATGACACCTTCGCCTTCATCATGTACGTGAATGAGTTCTTGCTGTTCATCTTGTTCATCACAACAGAGAATGTTTGACACCTTCGTACTGTCTGTTTGTATGTTGTTGACGCATTAACTCTTAAGCATTTCCAACTGTAGAAAACTCAAATCTTCACAGGTCGCTTTCACGATGACTGCAACATCTTGCACGCCTTTGAAGTCAAGATTCTTTTGATGCATTGTTTTCACGACATACAGAACTACTCCTAGAGAATAGGCAAGAAAGCAAGCTTTCATTAGAGTCTGTAAGACCGGGTGTTGCACAAATGTACTAAGTCTTAGAAGTGGTCAAGTGATTAGGGATAATTAGCCAAGGCACAGCTAAGTCTAGCTAGTTATGACCTAACTAGTTAGTTATAACTAGGTTTATCTAGTCATGATTAAGTTTAGCTATGATGTCTATAGTTGGCGGGAGAATTAGCAGAGTTCTAGAAGAGTGGAGTGAGCACTTCTATTTTGTCTTCTAGAAATGAGTGAGCACTTTTATTTTGTCTTTTACAAAGTTTTAGATTCCAAGGGATTAGATATTTGACTAGAAGCTTGGATTTGATTGGTTTGACTCAATATATGAAAGATGATTGGCTAGACTAAGTCTAGTGTTGACTTAGTGGCTAAGAAGCTTGTAGAAGTTTAAAAGTTTCCAATGCTATGTCGCCACCTCAACCTTGGATTCCGGAAACTTCTAGAAGGTTTAGATAGGCCAATGGCATGTTGCCACATAGAGAGTGTTAGTCAAACTTACCTGGGTAAAAGTAAGTTATGAGAAATTACCACATATTAGTATGATAACTTCTCAAATAGTATAAATAGAGAGGTAGAGTAGCAACTCTCAAGCGAGTTTGGAAAGTCATGTGTGAGGACTTGTCATATATGAACGAGTGACGATTTTCAATACCTTGGAGTGTCGATGTTTGTGTGAGTTGGAGTGCTACCTTGAGTGATTCTATGAGTGAGTGTTTGGGCTATGAGTGTGAGGATGAATCCTAGTCTTCTATAACCATGATGCACTACCGCAAAGCCATCTGAGGTAAACCTGAGTGAGAGTCAGCCCGGAGGTTGCAGGTCGCAGTGTCAAGCTTGACTACACCTCAATTGTATCGAGCACCATATTCAAGCTAGAGCTTAGATTCTACTCAATTGTAGTGATGCTTCTTGCTTGCCACGAGCAACCACTCATGTGAAACACGGTTTTCTGTACAGTCTCGCCTTTCAGCACTTCAATTTTGCAAAATTCTTCAGCTACAAAATCCATTGATAATGTCACAGATGCAAAATTCAATGCAATCTCTTGCGTTGCCAATAAACAGATCCCTTCTTAGCTATTCGGCCAAAGTCATTCATACACCATTATGTAGATCATTGCAGAATCTCCCACCAAGTAAAATCCTGAACCATATTCCATTCAAATCCAAACTCGCCCTCCGACTAAGAGGATTGAGAATAGATCTCACTCTCGTGACAAGAGAACTTCTCACTATCACATTCTCACACGATGGAATCATCCAACAAAATTCACAAACAGCAACGAGATTGCTCAAAACAATCTTTTGACGTGCGTACATTCAACAACGTGAGTTCTTTGAGTGAATAGTTACGTGCAAATCCCACTGATTCAAACATAAAGGATCACATCAGGTCAAGCTAAATCCACTCCACATCTTGAAAACTACGGGTTGAAGCTCACGGGGACACCACATCAAGTCTGCTAAAAGCTACCCCAACGCGCAAAGGTTCAACTCAAAAAACTGAAAGTTTTTTGTGTTTGCAAAACTCTATATTCTCTCACAAGTGAACCCTAATCCTAGTACCACACTAACTAGAAATGGCACGTGTACACATGAAAATTTTATTGAGTCATAAATTTGATCAACGTATCAGTTGAATTACATTTATCATCAATTTTGATTAGTTCAATTTTTTTATCAAAATAGAGAGTCAATTATTTTTCAAATAGAGTGATTAATGAGGTTGATGTGTTTCAGTACATTGTACATCGCAAATCATGTGATGTACATGATTTGGAGCAAGATATAACGCATTTTGATTATCGCATAAAAGATTCATAACTTCATGTTTCGATCTATATGATTGCACTTATCACAGCGCAATCATATAAGCTAAAGGATTGCCTAAATGGAGAACTGACCATCTTATAGATTATATTGTATTGTCGTCTGTGCAGATGTTTGATGCAGGAAGCTAACGTGAGAACTAAATCCCTCAAGCTTGACCCTTCTTCGGGCAGACAACGGGCACCGAAATATCTTGCAGTCGGAGACAGATTGCCTCTCGGACAGGAAATGAGGGAGAGGAGGAATCCCAATCAAAGGAATGACCTCTCCGACATGGAACTCTAAATGCAGAAAGATTAGCTGACAAATCTATCTGAGAGAGATAAGAGTGTACCGCAATAGTCGACCGAGCTCCACGATATCCACAGAGTGCTTCCTAGGATTCCAAATCGAAGTCACGGAGTGGATCGTTGATGAAATATGAAAGGTGGGTAAAGTACAACGAACTGGACTGAAGAACTGTTCCGTATCTTTGACCATTTCTGGACGGCGACCGAATCACAATGGACTGAAATGTAGGATCCGAGAGAAGATCGGAAAGAAGATCATACTAAAACAGCTTCTCGTGCAGGGAAGAAGCCACGAGTCACAAGTTCCAAGCGTGAAAGAGTTTGTCCTGCCGGAGAGGCTGCCTGCTCAAGAGTAACGAGTACCGTATCAAAACTGCTGCAAACGGGGAGAGGGGTTCGTAGGCACGATGAGTACCTACACCCGCGTCCTCAAAAGAAAGCGGATCTAAATGTCCGGATCCGCTTGGCATTTGTCGATAGTTGAGATGTACTCACGAGCGTGTGTATCCAATCCGACGAGACACGTCTCTCGAACAAACCACCGGTTTCAGGCGGTGAAGAGAGGGTCCTGAACTTGTCCTCAAATGTCGTCGACATCTGGTCGTGGAGGGAAAGGAAATTGAACGCTTCGTCAGAGTAATTGCTTTGCAGTCATAGAAGATCTGTGCATGTCGAGGGAGTGACAAGGTGCTGATCCAAATAATTTTTATCTTATAGACGAAGACGTACAAAGAATCTGACTGACAGACTCATTGATTGATTGACATTTCTCTCCCTTGTGACATCGATTAAATGAGAGTACTGCAGTACCACCGACTAAGTGCGGAGTGCTCAATGCGTACATCACTCCATCGTGGGATTCCATTCAACTCGCACGAAGCTCACACAGCATACCAGTCCTCACATATCTGCCAAAAGCAGGAGCAAGTAGATTGAAGCTGACTGATGCTGGTGTGAGCCCGAGATCGATGCGCATTGAGTTACTACTAGTATAATTACTCATCTGCATACGATGCGGATGATTACTGTAATTGCAGGCTCACTTGTACGTAGAATGTGATATGGGGGTGCAGGCTCAGTTCTCGGTGACAGCGTCCGGAAGGACAGTCCTGCTGCATGAACTACAGGAACTTGTATCAGAAGGGTGAGCCGAAAAGAACCTGATAGACGGAGTTGAACGGGAAGCGAGAAGCTGCTAATGGTAGAGCAGAGCGGAGCCGAGCATGCAATGCATGTGCACAGGGCCCAGGGGGTCCATGTAACATGAATCCACCAGGCAACGTCACAGCTATTCAAGTCGTTAACTTTGTCCCATGAATGTCTGCCACTAGGTAGCACCTGAGAGGGTCAAAACTTGTTCTGAACTGACCTGAACGATGAGTGAAATGCGAGCCATAATGCATGTAACTTCTCCCGATCGAATCTCATATCGACTGGCAAGGTTAGTTTCGATTCTGCTCTAAAATCTCGGCATGTCCAGATTAGCGGTAAGAACTTTCACAGTACACCTGAAGGTACTTGACGAAGAGGTGCATCAGAAAAGCTACAAAGCGCTTTACCCCACTTTGACCGACTAAACCATCAAGCTTTGGAGAGGCTAGTGTTGCGCAAACAAACGACACAATCTCTGGTTATCGCAACTTTAGATTTAGAATGTCTTCCTCCAAGCACGCAGCAAACGAGCGGGTCCCGCCACCCCCTGGCTCTTCATGACAGTTGTGTAATCAACCGCTGCTGTTTAGTTTCTGTCACCGTTAGTCTCTGCGGAAAATTATCAGGTCGTATATAAACCTGCACCAGCTCTTCCCCGAATTTTCAACATTCCGATGTTCGAAGGTTTAACTAGACTGTGTATGATGGAGAGCATAGGCAGAATGATTCCACCATATGCGTAATTATAGAAGGCCAGAACCTTGAAACTTGGGCTTCCGGAATGTTACGAGACTCCACAAACATCCATAAGGAGGCTTGGGCCTCGATCGATATTACCTTGGAACATGAGTAGAGGAGACGAGCCTATGCAGACAGGCTGAGAACTCCATCTCCGTGCTAAATTCAAACATGTCATAAAGGAATTTAGCTGTCCGCTGGTGTATTCATGGAAGGCACAAATCTCTTATGTGAAGAGAAAGGTATCATGGATTCGATCATAAGCTGGATATGTCTTGCTTCCGTGGAATGCAAAATTGATGAGTCACATACAGGAAAAAGTGGTCATCCCTTGGAAATGTTCCAGTGGTGCACAATCCTCAACCATCAACAAAATTTCTTCTTTGATGCCTAAAATGCAGCCCTCTGAGCTCAATCTTCACTGTCCCAGCGCCTGTCTTGCAATTTCGACCGACGTAAATTCCGGGGTAGAAACATCTACACACTTCCTCTTTCGGAATCTGGAGTCCAGTCCCTCAGAATCCTCTCAATATGGCACAATGGCTTCCCTTCCCATCCGAACAAAAGTAGTTTCTTCACGCACAAGAAAAGGCCTTCCAATTTTGAAAATATATCCTTAAGAGATGATCATTACCAAAATTTAGCTTCCAGGAAGGCTGGAGACCAAATAAGGGTGGGTATCTGGACAAACAGGCGAGAATAGCTCTCAGCCGCCGATCCTGTACCTGTACTAATAACAACTTCTCAACACCTTACTGAACCTCTGCGTTTGTCCCTTGTTCAAACCCTGATCAGTCTTCTGATTCTGCCTAAATCCACTCGATAAGGCTCTTCTGGGTTGGGCAAGCTTGGCCTGCTTGCTGCTGATCATATGGCCTCTGAGTGTTTGATGGATCACTAATGGATTTAGGGGCCACTTTCTTGCTACTCCAGCACAGTGCCTACATGACCGCTTCAATCCTGTCAACTTAACAAATCAGAATGAAGGCATGCACCGCAGGGGAAATGAAGAACGGAAGACAGGATGGGAAAAGCAAATCAGACGACCCCTTGGTGGTCCTGGTAGTCTCAGAGGCCGTGCTAAATAGTTGTGTTCAATAGGATGAAGAAGAAGGAGATGGAGTGGTCAGAGGTTAGTTTAGTGGAGACAAGTGCGATGGTTGCTTGATGTTGAGATCCTTGTTTGTTGTATTGTTGTATATTGTTGCTGTGTTGTTGCTATGCTATCAGACAGAAAGCACTCAGTCCGCGGGCAGTGGGTGAGTGAGAGCTCTGGGGACCCACACCATCGATCTGCACAGTCATAGTGCTCAGATTTGTGAACAGAGCGAGAAGAGGTACAAGCGATTTTCACAAGGAACAATAGCTAGTTGCCCTCGTCCTTGTTCTGCAACTACTCCACTTTTAGTTTCCTGTCAAAGAGAAACTGAGTTGGCTTAGCCGCCACTGAGGAAGAAAGAACTTGACCATGGACGAGGAAAAGGATCAGCAGGAGGAGCCCCGGCAGGAGGAGGCGGATGTAATGGCAAGTGCACTCGTTCTGGTAACAGACTGTGCATCGCTCTCATGGCCACATCTAAAAAAGCCCATAGGTGATAAGAAGTGGTCCATTTGCAAGCAAATCTACTGTACCCTCTTCTCCTTAGTCCACACAATGTCCTCAACTCTGGGGGCACCAAGAGCACGATCCATGATGTAAATGGGAAAGGGCTCTACTTTATCCGGAAGGTGAGATGAGATTCGTCAGGTCCCAGTCGGTCTATTGGTGTGCCATTAAAAGATTGCAACCTCTCTGGATTTCGAAGGGCTGAGACAGTGGTAATCAACAACCGTTAACTCTAGGTTACGCTGGGTGCAGAGCGCACATGGACTTTATCGTGTGATTTGCTGGCCCCTTTACTGCTCGGGATTCTTTAATTTTCACAAGAAGCACCAGAAAACTCTGAAGTTGTCTGCCCTTGTGGGTTGTGCGTGCATTTTCCTGCCTCCTTCGCCCATTCTCACAGCCCTTGGTCATATTACGTGGTTCCCTTCTAATTGTGTATGTCCAATCGCCAATATCAATACTTATCAATAAGAAGCCCCTCTCTGTAAAGAATCTGACCGACACAGCGCACATCCTTCTGACTGCAATGCTGCCTCCAGCTTCCCTCTCGCTCAATATTCTCCTCTTAACCTGTTTGCACCACGATCCTCTGACTACCTTCTCGATGCGCTGCAATACTCCCCACCGTGCGTGAACATACACATGAACTTCTCTGCTTGTGCGTGCCCCTGATTCACTTATATAATATATATATTGTACCTCCCTGCGTCCCTTTCTTCGTTTTTCCCGCTCTATCTGCAACAACTGCTGATGCACGGTGACCGCAGGGATGGTCACGCATAGCCATCACCATCGAGTTTTGCGCAGCCAAAACACTCACATTCTCTTCTGTATGCGGCGCCTTGGAATCTCAGCCGACCTAAATCAAACAGCAACCGGAATTCAGACACAATTGTTCGCTTCGATTTCCTGCCTGGCTCCTGTACACCCGGACAACATTGTTCTCATCCCCGCTTTTAGCTGCTACACAGCCCGCCCCGCCCTGCTAATAGAAATCAATCGCCTTCCTCAGGCAGTGGTTAAGCCAGAGGCGAGCTCGATCTCGGTCGTTTTCGGGTGCTAATTCTACAATGTCATGCACCTCGCTTGCACGCGATTAGCGTAAACTTGAGACCCGGGAAAATGTTGTGGTTCTACAGACAGCTTACAAGGACTGTACATTTCTGACTCTTGGAATCTGGAAGCTCCAGTTTCTATTGACTGATGAAAAAGTTTCGCCCTGAATTGTACCGGACGGACCGAACTCAACCAACTCAACTCAACCCAACCCTACCCTACGGTAGGAGAAAGGAAGTGTGATTGAATGGGATCCTGAAGACAGCTGGCGTGCATTTCTCCGAGGCAGTGATTCCTCTGCAGTGAGTACCTCTCATACCTCGTGCTCAATGTTTACTCTGGAGATCAAATTGATCTAGTGTAGTCTCGACTTGATCGGGGTCCAGCACATATTACCAGTGAGAGTGAAGTTCACTCACAACGGACAAGCTTTTTATAAAGGGGAAGTGTGTCACCGGCGTTTCTCCACGGTTTGGTTCTTCATTCACGTGCCGTTTGGGAGAAGCAACCGCAAGTCAGAAGACTCACCTCACTGAGAATGACTAGCTTGCTTGCTTGCCATAGAGTGCCAATCAACCATCTACCGCACAGCAGAATGACAAGAGCGATCGAAGGCACAAGGATCATAACTTTCGGAAATGCCCCTATAGAGAATCCGTGCGGTTTCATAAGATATGAGACAAGAATATATTCAGGTCTCCATGCTCGCTTGCAAAGGCGTGGGTCAGCCCACCTGCGACCATGCATGGGAGAGGGCGATCGGCAACTTTGAGGCCGCCCAGTTCAGCCCGCCCGACGGTTGAATCACGTTCCTAAATTAATACTGCAATGAGGAGAACGATTGATGATGAGATTCAACGTGAACATAACTTCCAACCGCTGCTGCGAGGAATAATAGTGGGGACTGGAGCTTGAGGACCTGAGCAGGATTTCTTTAATGGAAGAACGGTATCTCGTGCAGCACGAGTGAGTTGACACAGACATATGATCCCCGCTAGCGAGTAGACTCACACCGGCTGTTTCAGCTGTATCGCCTCTAATATCTGTCGATGCAGAGCGCCCTCCTGCTCCCTTCTCGTCTTCTGCGGCGGTTCGATACAGGCAAAGCAGGAAGGAGAGCTTTCGAGGAAAGTACACCATATTATTCTCCAGAGCTCAAGCCTCCAGTTGATGGAATCCTGTTGATGGAGCCTTTCCATCCTTTTGCACAGTACTCGCTGCTCCCTCGAGGCCCTCGCCGTCGTCCTCCATGGGGTTCAGGACGAGCAAGTCCTTCCCTTGTCCCTGGAGCAATTAGCGCTTGCTGACCGCGGTTTGTGCCCCGGCATGCCTGATGCTTTGGATTATCATTCTAACAACTCGACTGCTTACTTTAATCCCTGCTCACTCGGGCTCTGAGCCTCTGACCGCGATTGACTCGAAGCATAAGCTCCGAGTTCGCCTTTAAACCCCGCACATCGGGCTCGAAGTGAAATTCACGACCGTGAATTACCCCGATTCATTGCATCTCTTCCTAGTCCTTCTACTCGCGTCTACTCGCATTGCGGGCACCACTGAGACTAAACGGAGTCCCTAACCAAACGCTTCCTTGGATAATATGATATCGACCTCGATGGAATCAACCCCAGGGAGGTATAACCGGCGTGGCTGCTCGGGATGCGGCATGCTGAGGAGGGCACCGGACGGGCCCAAACGCCAACAGCCTGTGTAAGTTTGCCAGTGAAAGTGGGACCGCCCGGAATCATAGGGCTGGATCCAGGTTGCCGTTTTCCAGCTCGCCAAAAATTCGACAGTTTGTTGTGCATATTGAGCACATGCCTTGCCAGAATCTGCAATGGAATTGTCGCCTTTTTTCCTACTCCCAAACTTGGCAGCCGTTTTCACTCTGATTACGCATGCGAAAAATTCCAGGTCATGACATTTTCCCGGCGCCCCAAGTTCCCAGCAGGGTACCAAGGACACTTCGGTCCTTCTTCTATAGCAGTATAGCCTCTCCATTTCTCCTCGCTCGGTTTCTATGACCGGCTGAAATAAGAGCCGGATAACTTACAGCATGCTCGCATGCGGACTCTTGTTTTCGTGCCGGTTCCACTCCCGGCATCCTTCCTTCTCTACCCGGCGAGCTTGCCACGGAATCCATCCACCCACAGGCAAACGGGAAAAATGAATCCAGCGTGAGGCTGCCTGACGGTTCCGTTTGTTATCCAGAAGGGCTACCAATATTAAAGTTACTATTGTCTCTTCACCTGAATACGTCAGTAAGTTTCATTCGACGCTCATCTAGCGGTGAGTTGTGGAATGCAGTCCACCGGATCTGGCATTGCAGTTGCACTAGATGGTGCTCGATTGACCGGCAGGGAAATCCCGTTCCTCCTCCTCCTCCGGTAGACGGTGACTGATACGAAAGTTCCCTCGCGGTAAGAGTCCGTGCGGGGATCTGTCCAGTACTAACCCGACCGACCTACTGCGGGCTACGTTCAAAGCCAAGTCTATGTCGATCTACGGAATAAAAGGCTAACGTTGTGGTAGTCTTTTGTCCTCGTTCACCGCCGGTTACCGGTGTACTGCCAACGATTCGGGAAAAGCCGCTTCTACCGTCTCCAAAATATCACCTTGTCGCCTCGGATATATGGACTTCGGAAGGTGGATCCGCGACGGATGGTGACCTCGCGTTCGTCTGGTGAAAAAAGGTCAAATCTGGCCCTTCGCTGATCCGAAGTCGTCAATCCAATCCCAGTCCTAGTCCGGCGACTCCAGCCAGGGCAGGTCAAGGTCACGGAAACCTTGTGACAGAGGGATTCGAGACTCGCGGGGATTGACTCATCAGGTTACAGCGCGGTAACTGTCGTCCTTTGCGTCGAGAAGGTGACCTGGAGCCAGTGTTAGGCGAGGTCATGAAAGGTCAGGGAATCCCTGTGGGAGAAATCAATTTCTCTGATGCAGTGTGGGTCTGGACGTAACTGTGGTAGAGGTGGAGAAGGTGAAGAAGATACGTCAAAGTGTCCGATCCGTCCAAGGCTGCTGCAGCACGACCTGCTTCCACGGCACTGAACGGAGCGGAACGGTTTTATCGCACGAAGGAGAAGGGCAGAGACGCGCTTGTCGTCGAGCGACAGGACCGCTAAAATTAGAAGGGAGATGGCGACTCCTTGAGCCCTCGAAGCGGAAAGGAAACGGAGCCATCAGGAGGAACACCGGAACAATGATTATGTGATACGGTCGCCGATGATGTATCGGACAGGAGTCACATGCATCGAGCTCGCCCATCGGATCATGGCATGGCGCAAGCTAGCAGCCAGCCAGCCAAGCCAAGCGAGCACGCCAGACAAATCGACAAGCCGAAATGACCGGCACTGCTGCGGCAGTGCGGCCTCCCGTGCCCTCTTCGCGGTCCCCTCCAGGTTCCCGTCCACTGTCGGATGGCCGGACCGTGATGGAAGAAGGGTCAAGAACGGGTCCTCCGATCGTTCCTCCACTCCCGTCCTCAAATACTGTAACGTCTGTGCGTCACGGGTCATTTGCATCCCGCCGGGTGCGTTTTGGTGTCCGATTATTACAGCGTATTACGGGATTCGGCCATAATCGTCTTCGGAAATAGGGTGTGACAAGTTGACGGGTTTAGATGACTCGTGTTCAGGAGCCGGTGATTGCATTGGTGAGGGTCGAAGAGAAGTCCCCCGGACGGGAGAAGATCTCGGACCGCGCGAGGGAGGTCCGCTCGGGTTTCCGAATCGTTGCTGCGCTGCGGAAGGGCCCGTTCTGTCTGACGCGCGGGATTGCTTTATCTTAACTCAGCCAGCCCGGGTATCGGAGCCTGCCCGCTCTGCCCGGCACTCTGCAAGGAGTTCTCTCGGCGCGTCCGGGGACGATCATTTACTGTCGTGTCTGAGGGGCCTGGGCTTTCGCTGGTTCGCCTTCTGTCTGTCATGCTCGACCCGCCCGCGCTGCTGCATTGCTCGCTATTAAGCCCGCATCGGACCGAGGCGTTGGACCAGACACCGGCCACCAGACGCCCCTCGCTCGACCGCGGGAGCAAGAAGGAAGCAAGGGGGAATGAGGTAGTCGTGCTTCGATCACATCACCCTCCACCTCAGCACATCATCGCGCAACCGCACAGCGCAGCAGCAGAGCATCGCAGAAGTGCACCGCGAACCTTTGGGCTTCTCGGCTCGCAAGACTTGATTTTGACCCACCCTCTTGAACGCCCGCTGCTGCTGCGATTGAGCTCGAGTTCTCGATCTCCCTCGCTTCTTTCTTCATTTCCTGTCCTCTTCCCTCGTCTTCGTCAGAACAGCACCGACTTCGTACATGTGGGTCTGATTGATGAGACGCTGTGTTCGCCTAGGGCGAGTTCGTCCGCACTCGGCAGCAAGAACGTGCCCGGAGTGCCGAGAGCGCTCGAAATCGGCCTGTCCAATTTTTTTGTGTGACTGCTGTCGTCTTCTGGGAAGCGTCGGGTCTTTTTGCCTGCCTCTTATTGGACTTCAGTTGCACTGGAGCCAGCAGTCTGAGACGGAATTACTTGCGGACGAGTGAGTTCTGGCTAGTGCAGGCAGGGGTCGGATTCATTCTGGGCGACGAAGGTTTGGGCCGGAATTCGCTGCGGTCTTTTGATTTGTCGAGCATTCGAAGGATTGTCCTTGTATCAGTGTGGAACGGGCTAGTCTCGGCTTCTTCATCGTCACGTCTCAGCCATTTCATACTCCTGGACTTCTTTGGCCTGCATCGAAAACCTTCAATGTGGTGAGCATTGGGCCTCAGTAGACATTGAGTCCAAGCTCATTGGCGGAAGAGGAGCGAAGGCCTGGATCGTGGATTCGACTGGTGAAGGATGGCTTGTGAGGCGCTGCAAAGTGGATTGAGTCTCGGCAGTTTGGAAGCAAGACGAGTTCACTGCTCTTTAAACTCGGCACAGCGCAGTCCTGGTGATGCAACCACTTCTGTCGCACTTCCGTCGAGGTTCCTCGGAGCGAAATTGTCGTCATTGGGTCACAAGCGTTGCTCTTTCAGTGGTATGTCCTAAGCTCTCTTGTGTGCTGTAATCTTAATGTGCATGACTTCAAATGCACACTCACCCAAAATACTGGACAGTCCAGAGGTTACTCTAGCATTGCCAGTTTTCAACATATCCTGTTGTAGATTAAAGCTCGGACTGAGCCGTGCAATTTGGTTAACTGTTATCTTCCTGTACCGAAGGTGTCCTTAGGAGTCGGGTTAGCGCCATGATATGCCTTACGTGAGACCGAAGCATTCCTGAAATCACTCAAACAGGACGTGATAACTCCATCTCCCCTTTCCGTGAACAACAATAAGGATTTTGCTCACGCATTTGTAGATTTGTCCAATTCGTTTTGAGGTTCGTGCTTTGCACCTGTTGCACATCATCAGTACTCAAGTCAGTAAATGCATATTGTTCAGCCGCTGGTCACGGAAACTTTTTGGCAGAATTCGCCATGAGATACAGTACTACTCTTTACTGAATAACCTACGACGGTCTATTTCGGTGAAATTGAGTCTGATGAAAATTATGATATTTTTTGTGCAGCGTCATCACCTGCGATTGGACGGCTGGAGACAATGAAAGTTGAGTGTAGGACAGCCGAGCCAGACCACGACCTGTCGTCAAGCGACGAATACTGGTCAAGAATTGCAGCACAGTACCAACAGCCGATGTTCGACGTTTGTGATCATGTCACCATACCTGACAGGATAACGACTGCGACCAGCGAACGATCAAGATCGAGGGCCACCTTGATGGTGCCCGTTCACGAGGAAAATCAGATTGACTGGCGCAGTTTCAGGGCGAAATTGTGCTCGACTGAGGCTATGGATCAAGCCTGTGCAAGGGACTCTAGTGATGATGGGCAACTTGCGGACTCCAAGCAGTGGGCTCATCGACTCTCCACACCGGAAGTGGGATGTGTCCTGATTGCAACGGACAAACTGAATCATCACGGATTTTTGCGAGGAGCTGTGATATTGCTTGTAGGATTGTCCCAAAATCACTGCCAGGGGATTATTCTCAACAAGAAGATGCCTTTTTCTGCTCACAGTCGGCAAGGAGCCGATCAACGAGTTCTTCTAGGCTTATCTGGATGTCCCAAGTATGTTGGCGGTCCTGTGTTGTCGACGCCAAAAATCAGTGTCCTCAGCGAGAAAACAGACATTCGGGGATTCAGAACTTTGATGCCAGGCTTGGCTGTGGGTGGAGATGCGGCACTCCCAACTCTTGTGAGCGCGGTCGGCAGTGGTGAGATCCCAAGGGATGAGGTTAACGTGTATGTGGGCGAGGTCGAATGGGAATCCAGACTCCTGATGGCAGAAATTGGTGTGTTTGAGTGGTGGGACGTCGCTGCTTGTAGCAGTGACACGCTTCTCCAGAGCTCACCAGGTCACCTAAGGGAAAATTTACGATCTCTACTCTCGTCGTGAGGTCCCGGCTGCCGCGAATCCGGATCCACAGGCACACGGCTGTCGACAGGTTGCAGCCATGCTCACCTGTACCCTGCATGGCGTCTGCCGCTAGGGTGTACATAATATTCTCGCTAGAACCAAACTTGGACGCGGCCCACGTCGGAGACACTCCGATCAATTGTACAGCCATGTTTACTTCGTTACCTTTTTCAATTGGATCTCGAGTCATTCTGGAGACGGAGCTGATCAAGACCTGTACCTCGTACTTCCCTTTTTGTCGTAGGGTCTCAGTTTTAGAACTTTCTGTGAACCTATTCATGTGGATAAAGATGTCAATATGTCAGTAGGGAGGAAGGTCTGTACATGCATCAGTACAGATGAAACCGTTCTTGTTAATATGCCTATCCATTTTTCTCTCAAGGAATGCGGCCGGCTTAGGATCTTAGCTTCTCATGTAAAGAGTCATAACTGTTGCACGGAATCGAGCGCAGCGAACATTTACGATTACATGTGTTCGGAAGAGTACTTATAGGATTGACAGTAGTAGCTTGGGCGTTCTCCTAACCTTCGGGGTGGTCCACAGGAAACGGGTTTCTTCCTAGTAAGATTTGTGAGCCCGTACATGGCCCTGGGTTCGCAATTCCAGCAGCAGAGGGATATGTCCTCTAGCCATCGATTGCGAACTCAGGAAATACAATTCTGGGAAGAAATGCAACGCACCTCCTGTGGACGCGAACGAAGAACCGTGGATTGTCTCCAGGTTCTCGAAGAGTGTATATTTCTTGTACTTCCGATAGTGATACATACATTACAAAAGAATAATTTTTTCTTATCGTGACCTGTGCGCTGTGATTTCTTCTTATTGAGCAAGCATTTGGACGAAGATGAATGCCTTTATAGCTTTCTTGTTCGAATGGACAGTGGGACAGAAGAAATCCCTTCGCAGTCTCTTGCAGAATTCGGTCTGTGAAGAAGGACAGCATCTGCTTTTTTATTGTTTTAGCTCCTTCATACAAATGATGAGTGTTTCGTTGACAGTACGACTCCCTTCACAGTCTCTTGAAAATCGGTCTGCAAGAGAAGGATATCATCGGGCCTGTGGAAAAGTGTACGCAACGACGGGTTTGACTGTCGCATCCTGTACCAGCACTATCGGAGATTCCGGAATCCAAACCAACATTCACATGTACGCCGAATGTGGCTCCAACTTGCACGATAATATCAAACGACCCGCGGGAGTGCTTCTTCCTGTCCGATGACTCGAGCATGACGCTCTCCTAGTCTCTGCCCCTGGAATCGACATCCGCGACGAAGAATTTCCTTTCATGTTTATGTGCGCTCCGCCTGGTGCACGCTCGTCTTTAACGCGTTCCGTGCCTTCTAACGGTGACACCGCAGTGCCCTTTCCCCGACGGTCGAAGCATGCAGGCACATCCGACACTAGCAAACAAGGCGACCACGTGGACTATATCCACCGCCCCCTACACGACACCACGAACGAGGCTCATGTTACTCTCATCCTCCCGGCAGAACCAGTCCAACGATGGCCTCTGCTCTCCTACCAATTCTCTGATTCCTCTTGGTTGCGTGCCACTTCCGTGGACCTGCAGACCATTCTCGCTTTTCATTTCCGCTCCCTGCAAAATTTTGTACGACGATCCGCGCTCGGGGACGTTTGAAGGCCCCAGTCCGGATTGCACACGAATTAGGTGGTCGTTTCTTGTGATCCAGAGGCGAGGGCTAAAGCAGAAGGGTCGTTCCGCAAATTTCGAGTGCCCGAGGTATCTGCAGTATCCACTAACTGCACCAAAGAAATGCCCCAGAGAATAACGAGGAGCTCGGCCAGCTTTCTGTTGAATCATCGCCACTTTTCTGATTTGTATCGAGCACTTTGTCGTAGAGAATCGTGTCTGGAGTCAAGTTGACAAAACCTGACGGAAAGTTCTCCCGACGTGAGCTTTCATGAAAGCCCCTTTAACAATAAGAACACGGAAGAGCCGGGGCTGAACGCTGTTCATCGGCACCGATGCAACTAATATCTCCCCACAGGATTGATACGAGGTCGTGGACGCATCAGAGTCAAGAGAATTTCGAGGTCCAGGCAAATGCAGTCGGGTGTCCCGAAGGCTACCATCCCGAGCGTCTGAAAGGCAAGGCACAGAAAAGGCCACCTTCGAGCCGTACAAAAATGATTCGACTCGCAGCTGACTATGCGTAGACGGAGCATTTCCACAAGAAAAATCCCCGTCTCAGCCTTTCTCACTTTCTGCCTTTTCCCCTTTACGAACCCGAGACATCGTAATGTCCGATGCGATGCATCACAATGAACCGAGTCGTCCGACCAAAAAGTGTGCAGCATACAGACGCTCTCTCCCATCTCTTCGTGCCTTCCGCCATTTTGCTAGTTCCCTTCTTTCTCACCTTTTTTGGGCTCGTTACGTGACACTTCGGCGAGCTGTAGAATTTTCGTTCCTCTCCCTCCCCCAGTCAATAGGTGCCCGAACTACGAATGTCTGCCTCTCACGCCGTGGAACCACCGAATCAGACAGCATGCTCATGTTGGTGACTGCTGTTGTGTTTATTTTGCAACATGCTGTGCAAAACAGCCAAGAAGACAAATCGGACTTTCCAGCGTCTGGCCATTAGACAGGTATCGCGTGGATATTGCAGTCTTGGATGTTCAACTCCTCCACATATTGCGCTGCTAATAATGATCCTTTGAGAAGGTTAGAGTTGCGGACGTGTGTAAGCACGCATATCAGATATAGAGGATCATTCTGTATTAGTTCCAGAGAAATGCAGTTCCTGGCTTTCGATTCATTGCTCCCAGCGCACGACGCAAGGTCTCGCTGATTTTTTTTGTCGAGGTTCTGGATCCTGCCTCAAAGACGTGAATCGTCTGAGTGTTGGATGATTCACGTCTTTCAGGTTTCAGTAAACTTTGACTCCTTGAACCTCGAGCCAGGCAAGCAGTTGATCCTTGTCCTTAGTGCTAGAGCTCTCAGTGTCCAGTTTCCAGGGGACTCCGAGACCTGTAAAGCTCCTCATGGACTGCACTGCCGTATGCTCCTTTGTTCCATTGCCTACTATATCCACATGGGCAACTACCACTTCAAGGTTTAGCTTTTTGACCCCAACAACTCTTGTCAGCAGCAGCATTTTACATACTCATCTCGATTATTATTACGCCCGTTCACGCACGTAAGCCTCTCGACTGTCGCACACCGGCCACACTTCTGGACCAGTGCAGAAGCGCAAGATTAATAAGAACCAGGTAGATAATATATATATCATATATATTGCTATATTACTTGCCCCTCCACCCCCGCTCTCCCCCTCCCTACCCAGTTTAGATAATTGCGTTGCAATCCACCGCATCGTAGTGTGACTTGTGGTCTATCTCTTCTGGACTTCTCATTGTCTTGTTCCTCTAGAATCCTTACTGCGTCTGATGATTAAAGGTGGATTATTCAGTCTTTTTCATACAGGACAACGTACATGTGCGCAGAATGCAAGCCCTCTCCCACTATCGGATTTCAAGAGTATTAACTTGCCTGTGCACACATGGGCATCTTGGTGGTGATAGCCCTTATCCAAACTAAAGAGCTTTTTAGTATAGGAGAACTTTTTTTAAATGTTTTTCTTGATTTTCTTGGTGCTAACCATTACCTTCACTCTGCTTGCATAAGACACGTAAAGACATTTATTATTTATTGAAATAGCGCAACCAAAAATTAATTTTTAATTGGATAATTCAATGCTACATCCGGTGCCAGCTCATCATATATTGGCTATGCAGCGGACTTTGGTGTACTGGACAGAAAACTAAAGCCCTGAAAACTACTCATATCTATGGAGGACAAAATAGTACAACTAAGAATTTTTAGTAATTCGCACAGGGACTGTGACCGTATCTGGGTATTGTGTGGAATACACGTGATCTTCGGACATATAAATTCATATCACACCATGAAGGTGTAACCTAAGGTCCTAAAATAGCTTAATATAACTGGTATAGTAAGCTACAACGTATATATTTTCAAAACCAAAACGAATGGACAAACTAGAAGATCAAAATATATATATACATGCATTTGAGTGAGGGTGCAATGTCCGGATTTGTATTTTCTGAGCTAATGTGGGTGGGCAGCCACATTAGCTTGGAGTTCAAATGATAAATATTTTTACTTCGAAACTTCATTGTTATATACAAACAAATCATCCATTACTAATATACACTCTGAACGGCGAACATGAAAATTTCCTCTCTCTTCATTCCAGTTAAAAAAATAACCATTTCGTGTGAGGTTCATTTGGTCTATGACTTGTAGAGATATGCATTACTTATGTCTAAACCGCCTCCCCCCTACGCTTGGGGTTTCCAAGCGATTCTTTTTATATTTTTGCACAATATCAAAGCCTTTTTATGATCACTAGTGATCGTGTGTAACAGAGGTAATGCGTGTGTTATGACCAATCCTCGCAATGATGGCCGGAATTTGAATAAGATTTTGCATTCAAATAGACGCCACGCAGTTCAAACGACGTTATGAATTGAAAAGATATGAAGGACGGATTTGGATGTCACCATTGTAAAGTCAAAGAGTGATTTGCACTTTAGACTTAAATGATGACCATGCAGACGTCACTCTGCATTATTTTTCCATACTTTGGATTAACGTTGAGGAAAGGTGTCATATAGGTCGGCGTCCAGTTCAGTCTTGAAAATCGTGCCAGAATGACAAAATAAACATACAAGGAAGCAAGAAACTCCATTATATGGCAGTTCTCGTTTATCCTTCGATCTCCAGGTTCAATATGATCAAGCGACCTCTGACTATAGCTCGACAAATTGCAAAAGGTTGGAACGTCGTGGACAAGAATCCGACTTCACAACTGGCTAAGACGTGGAACACCAAAACCTGTAAATTATATGTACATACTTTATTGCATATTTCCAACATGTACAAGAGAGTCCGTGGCCTATTATTCCAGTGCCTTGATAACTAGTTTGTACGATTTTGGCATTTATTTGGAGATTTGTGTGGTTGATATTGAGATAAGCTGGACATAAGTAATTAGATTACATCTCATCCCTATTTTTCTGCTTATGGCTCCATTTAATCTAAGTATGAAGTGAGTAGATTCATTATTTTGACGTTAACAAGATCCACTGGTATGATGATAATTATTACAAGGTTATACGAAAGATCTAAACATAATTTTACATAACAACACTCTAATTGTAATGTCATTCTTTCTCTTGATTGTACTTCTTTTATTCTTCGCAGCTTATACATCTAATATTTTCGGCCTTTCTTACATGCAATAATCTTTAGTTACATCGGCCAATATAGGGAATTCATGATATCGATCCTTGGTTAAATCTCAAATCTTTGACCGCAACACTTTCCGTTTCAAACATGACATTTATCATTCAGAAAACGTTCTAAATGAATAATGCATATGTGGAAATACAGACGATAACAATGGCATCTCCTCGAAGGTTAGCATGAATCTGGTAGATACCTTATGCCCAGTCAACTTGAGGAATCAATGGCTCAAACTTGACATTCCTTCGTGACTAAATACAGAGATTCAGATGATTCATCCACACCTCGTGAACTCAACCAACGTATCTGTCACGGGCTTAACGACTCCTGAGTCTGGTCAGCTCCAACTGAACCACTTCATATTATAGACTCCCTTCCTTTGCTTTTCTGTCCTGCGATATCCAGGACCTCGGCCTCTTGCTGGTGAACTGGGAAACTTGAATCGAGGACACACGCACCAGATGGGCAGAAACGTGGCACAAATGTTGGAATCTTGTAGTCTGGGGAAGTGCGAGGAGAAGGAGAAGAGTATCCAGTGAGATTGAGGCTCGGTGCCAGGAACTCACTATTCAAAGGCCCCCACCAGTTTCGTTTAACTGGATCCCACAATGAGCTTGCTCTACAGCTCAGTGCTCAAGATCCAGCAAAACGGAGAGGGACGGGCTCTGGCCGAGCTTGAAAACCCACGTGCTAATATGCCTCTTATCCTGGTCCTATTTGCTCAAACTCAAACTCCTGTCGATCTTCACTGAACCTTGTCCACCAACCACCCTAACCGGCCCCCACATGCACCTCAGCTTTCCAGATTTCACCATTCCAATCCATAAATCTGACCAATCGCCACTAAAGTCCTGAGATTTGCTTCAGACCCCTTGGGCGCTGCTGCCTGGACATTCTCATAACCTCTGAGCTCTCAGTGCCTCGACTATTTTACCAGAGCAGCGTACTGTACAGCTTGAAAGTTCTACTCTTCCATGAAGCTCCAAAAGCTCAAGCCAGCTTATCCTCTCTTGAACGTGGTATTCGTCAGATTTTGGCTTGTCGGATTCCAGAGGCTAGCCTATGTGAGTGCTCGAGCTTGAATATGCTCTGGGCCTTCGAACTATTGAGTAGCCATTGTTCCACTGCCCGCATGTGTCTGAATATTATTTGCAGGGATTGGGACACCTTTTGTACCTACATTAGGTGAGCCTTTCAGAATATCATTTGCCTTTACACATCCTGAGTTATCGAGGCAATGGAGTGGTGTTGTGGGACACTGCGACAAACGAGGTACTCATATGTTTGTCTGCAGTGACTGAATCATAGATTGTATTAAGAAACTTCCTCACTTTCTGCTGAAAAGC